TTCCTCACTTTCTGTTCATACAACTTTTTCTTTAACCAAAGATGTGTGAGTGATCCTTTTACTATCCTATTCTTGTGCATCATAATTTTGATGACTTTGCACAAATAAATGTAATTTTTCTTTGTTTAGTTACGCAACGTGAGCGATGAGTACAAGAGTTAAACTTTTGTCGTAAATAAGGACGAAGGTATACTATGGCTGGCTAGGGTGGGCAATAGTCTAGAGTAAATTTTCAGAATTTTAAAACATAGATGGCCAAAGTTATCTACTAGAAAGGAGCCCAATCTTCTTTGATAAAATTAGCCTACTTTAACCTATAAACTTTCCTAGTTCCGCCTTTCCTACGATTAAAGTTTGAAATATATGAATGGGTTTGATTAAAAATTGGAATGTATGAATGGGTTTGGTAGAGAAAGTCAGAAATAAGAAACGGTCAATGGGGATTAATCTTTGACTTTAAATTTGGCCGGTCACACTTTGGATGCTTCCCCTTTTAGAGAGGTCTTTTTCCGGAGGCAGGCTTCCTGCTGCCTGCTGGGTTGAATGTTATGCAAAATCCTACTCTATAAAGACTAGTACTAATTCTCTCTTTCTAGTCTTATTAAAATAAAATTTGAGAAAATTAACAAATCGTTTTCATTTTATTAAAGATATCCCGAAAGTCATGAATGACGATGTATGTCCATATAATTTTTTTTTTTTTTTTTTTCAATGAATGTCCATATAATTAGTAATAAGCTTATTCTACGAAGGTTCTCTAGCTAGCTGCACGAGGACTGTACGTGGCGATACAACAGGGCCGGCCTTTAGTTTTTTTGGTGTCCAGGGCGACCGCTTAAATGTGTCTTTCTTAATACACAAACATATATTAAAGAAATATTTAAAATTGGTCATAACCCAATCGAAGTTGGAGGGCTAGACCTTCATGCCTCCATTATATTACTTGAAGGAAAAACAAACATACAATGCTGCAACGAGTGTTGGGGAGAAGTAGTACCTCAACTCCGACGATCAAAAGCAAAATCATACAACCACTCCAAGCAAAAGTCCTTAAATTTTAACCTTTAAGAAATTGTCCCCTTGAAATTTTTTGAAGAAAAACTCATCAATTATATCATTACAATCCAAGTCTTCAACCACATTCATTTTAATGCTTATATTGTTGATCCATGAAGCAAACAACACATTTGGACTCCTATAAATTTCTTTTATGAATTTCGCTATTTCCACGGATGTCCAAGGTTGTTATCAAATACAAATGCTTCTTGTAAGAATCTTCGAGTGTAGAAAAATCGTCTAATCCCCAACCTGATTAGGTTTCTGTGTCTTGCAAAATAAGAATAGTCATCTCAGAGAAGTCATGTATCACCATACATATGAACCCAAGTATCACACTACCGGTCTCTGCAAAGTAGTGAAGGCTTTGAGCTGAAATTAAAATTCATATCTATAAGCATAAGATACATATGATGCCTCAAGTCTGACAACTACTTGCAAACTACAACAAAAAATTTTGTAATGTTTGACATGTGGTAAGTATCCATACGTTTAAATGTCTTGGGGGTCAATGTTCAGTGAACTTGTTCAACAGACAAGCACCCATATATCCACCACGCACCTAGCAAGCGTAGCACATTATTGCTAGCCCATTGTAAGTGAGAGGTCTTAGGTTCGATTATTGCCGAAGACGAATTTGAACCACATTATTGTTAGCCCATTGTGAGGTTAAGCCCATCCCTCCCCCTTAGACCTATCCTAATTTAATTTTAGAAACATTTTAACCTAAAAATATTTAAATTCAGATAATTATTGAAAAATCACTAAACCAACACCATGAAACTTGTTGAACACCATAAAAGAATAAGAAACACATGAAAGAATTTTTTTTAATTACTTTAGCTGTTGAATTTAAATTTGAACCGTTAGATCTTTTTTTTTTTTTTTTTTACCGTTGGATTTTATCATATTAGATCTTAACTGTTGGATTCAATAAATTTGTAAATATAAAACTAAAAAATGCACATATATGGTGAGCCAAGCCCACTAACCTAAGGGAAATCCTAGGCTAAATTTGCCCCATGAATGAGTTTTGGGTTAAAACTTATATTTGCCCCAAGGGTTGGAGCAAGTTGGGGAAGGTTTAGAACCTAAAATTTGAGTTTTACTCCAAGGGTTAGAGTAGGTCTAAGGGGAAGGAGGTAAGCTTAACCTCACGATAGGCTAGCAATAATGTGGTTCAAATTTTCCTTTGGCGAAATTGAACCTAAAACCTCACTTACAAGTGAAGAGGAATATCACTATACCGTAATAATAAAACTCTCAGTTAATTAAGGGATTGAAGTAACTTATTATTACTTGTAAGTGAGAAGTCTTAGGTTCGATTCTCGCCAAAGGTGAATTTGAATTACTTTATTGCTAGCCTATGATAAGGCTAAACCCACCCCTCCCCTTTTAGTGTAAATAATATCATTTGTTCAAAAAAAAAAAAAAAAGCACCTATTGTAAGTTGGTAAAATGTAATTTTGGGCAGAAATAAAGTATTTTCATATTATGTAGCCGTCTTGACAATTTGTAGCGTTTTTGTTCTTTTTCTATATATTTGGAACAAGATTCAGAGTTTTTAATTTGTTTTTCTTATTTTTCTCGTCCTTTGATCTTTAGCAATCTTGAATTGAGTTGGGTTTTGTTAGCTACGAAAGGCAAAGGCCCATCTTAATTGCCCTAATCTATTATGGATCACACACAACATGCTGACATTGCTGAGCTAGCACATGTCTTCAGGAAGATGGAAACACCTTTGGTGGTGTTAGATGAGTGAGACCCCACTCTATCCTATGAAGTCCCACGTGGCAGATGATCATTGATCAAACTCCATTCATGCAAATCCATTCTATCTTCCCAAAAAATCTCCGTCAACAGCTGACAAAGCCCTACCCCTTCCAAGTTAATCTCGACCACCACCTCCACCAGTAATATTTCTGACTCACTCACTCCAAAACTTACAGCTCTGAACCCAAAAAAATGGCAGCAACCATGGCGACCGCATCAACCGTAATGGGGCTGCGCAGTTCCTCCCTCTCACCAAGCAGGACATGCCTCTCTTCAGGTTCATACTTCACATACAAACACGCGCGCGCGCACAAAATATATATATATTTTGTGCGCGCACACGCTCTCACTAAAATGCGCCTCTGTACAATATACTAATGTTGCAATGCTCTTTAATTGCAGCCTTTGTGAACCCTATTGTGGTTGGCAACCCTCTGAGGCAAGTTAGGGCTTCTGGAGGAAGGTTCACATGGTAATTTACCTAGCTATCGTTTTTTAAGAAGATCATGACCGTTGATTTTGTTGTTGCAACGTAGAAATTGTTGTATGCGGTTGTGTCAATGTGTCGATCGTGTTAATACGGGTAAAATACGTGGTTTATATAAGACAATACGTGGTTAATTAATTATAATCAATGTTTAGCCTAAATTAAGCCAACAATTAATGGTAAGACATCCACGCAATCCATGCACTGATGCATATATGGCTTGGTTTTGTGTTGAATGTGTTGGGAACAAACAGTAGCTTTCAGAGAGATTGGCTGCGGAGGGATCTGAATGTGATTGGGTTCGGGTTGATCGGATGGTTGGCTCCGTCGAGCATACCATTAATCGACGGTAAGAGTTTGACGGGGCTCTTCTTTGAGAGCATTGGTGCTGAGCTCGCTCACTTCCCCTCACCTCCTGCTCTCACTTCTCAATTTTGGTTAGTAACCCTTCTTCTAAATTTTGTTCCTTTAGTGTTTGATCTTGTTTAGATTGATATCAAAGGTTTTTTTCTTTGTTTTTTTTCACTCTAAAGGGCACAATTACGGCATCTAGGCCCAAATGGCCAAGACAAATACAACCAGCCCAGCCAAAAAAAAAAAAAATGGTTTTTATCACAAATGAATTCTAAAATTGACTCACACCATCAAAATGGTCTCTGAAATTGAAAATTATGAATATAAGTGTTGCAAATCAATGTCATCATTCCATTGAATATTGGAGTGGGAGACCACAATGGGACATGTCAGCACACTAACAAACTCTGTAACAGAATTAAGACGGAATGATGAGAGTGATTTGCAACTCATATTCAAGGATGAGATTCATCAATTTTCAACTTAAGAGACAATTTTGATAAAGTGGGTCAATCTTAGGGATCATTTGTGATAAAAATCCAAAATCTTTTATAGGGCCCCTACCACATATATGCAGCAAAGCTCCCTTAAAAATTTAAAATAATCCCAAACAACCCCCAATTCCCAAATTAAAAGTTTTTCTAATACAAGCAGATACTAGGGAAGGTGAATTGAATTAAGGTGATATGCGGGTAAAGCTGTAACTAAATGAGCTACAAACAGCTACAATCCCAAAACAAAAGATTAAGTGGTCAAAAATATACTTGTACTAGTTCTTTTATATGTACTTGAGTGGTTAAGTAGGTTATCTCATTGATTACGTTTTATAGAGTGACTTGTTCGTGGTGTATTCTCAATCAATTTTACGTGTTTACTAATGTATTGAGCTATTTCAAAGCGACATAAACTTGTCTATTAGATATAAGATTGATTACTAAAATATATTAGCATAACTCAACTAGTTAATGGAGTCGATTTTAGGTCGTGTGATAAACTTAATTGTGTGATGAAGAAACGTAGCACTCCTTGAGATAAGGAATTAGGAGGCTGGTTTTTACATGTTTGGCATTTGATTCTCAATAAGTGTAGAAATAAAAAAGGGGGAAAAAGAAGAAGGAAAAAAAAAAAAAATAGGTCCCACCGAGATTTGAACTCGGGTTACTGGATTCAGAGTCCAATGTCCTAACCACTAGACCATGGGACCGTTCTTGTCAAATCCGCATTTCTGTTTTTATTTAATCAGGTCACTTTCAATAAAGCTATCTAAAGAAAAACATTAATTACATTATTAGGCTAAGTACATTCTAAATCCTTTAACTTTGGGTCATTT